CCTCAAGAAGTCCTTAAAGGAAAGAGATCACATTTTTAAAGACCAACCTAAATACCACAGAATTTACTTCTGTTAAAGCTAAAGAGAACACTGATGATTTACCTCCCACTACTGACCTCTCCTTGTCCTACAGACCACATGTTTCCTGCCTTTTTCTTTGGAAATATGGAGAAGTTTCCCATTAACACTGCATCTATATTAGGAATACTTGGTATCTTTCTTTCAGGTGGTCCATCTGCTAAACATTGTCAAACTCAGAAGTTGTTCTTGACACATATTTAGCTTTAGTGGTTGGTTCAGGCTTGGGTTTTAAAAGTATGTATTTCTGTGTATGATTGTTGTTCTAATAAGATACTACCAGTAACTTTACAAATCTCACGTAGAGCACCGTGACTACAGTAACACTATTTCTGTAAGAACAATATAACTCCAAGTGGAAAAGATCCTAATTTTGGTTGACTTCAGTTTTGTGCACTGATACAACTTTGTGTATTTGTGTGGGGGTTCGAGGTTTTTTTCCATTTGTAAGGTCTCTGTGTCCATATACGCAGGAAGCCATTTTATTCTGGAACCTTAGTGGTTTTTTTCCCATAACCTTAAGAAGACCTCTGAGCCTCCAGATTGCTTTTCTTCTTTTCTCTCCAGAAAAGAGCAGTTTTCATGTTAGATATTACTTTATTAGAAAAGGTGTGAGTTCAGAACTTTGTGAGTATGTTTATTTCAGTAAGGCAACTCTTAAAAACTAAGCCCAAGGTAGCACTTTTCAACCTTTAACCTTCATGGTTTTGTAAGCCCTAAATACAGAATGCACAAGAGGGCAACTGCTATTAGAAAAATAATCTGGGGTTTTTTTTCCCCATAGTAGGAAAAATGAAGGTGTAAATACTGTAAATAGATATCCCACTTTTAAGGCTGCCTGTATTACACAGCCTACCTCCATGTTAAATGCAAACAGAGCCAGTTGTACTGGCTCTATAGGCTGTCCTCTCAGTGTATCAGAGGAACATATGTGATGGGATTTTGTGGTGTTCGGGGGGGAGGCCAAGTGAAAGCCTCAGGTTCAGCATTCTCTACTTTAGCAGCAGATCTGTCACTGATGCTGTTTCTACAGTGGTGAAAATTTAACTGCCCACTCAAGAGTGTGTGTATGGATACACGTTAGAAGAACAGTATTTAGTGCCACATTGCCATTCCATGTGTTCTCTGGCACCTTGTAGACCAATGGTGATGCTGTCAGTGTAGCTTTATCTACTGTATGGTTGTAACTGTCAAGCATAATTTAAACAGTTTGTTACAATAGTTTTTTCTATTCCATGTTAAGTAGCACTTCATGTCTTGATTTGAAACAAGGTTTCTTCACCCACATTTGCCCAGAAATAGAGAGGTGAAATACCTTCTTTTTTCCTGTTATCATGAGAAGTTCGTTGACACTGATTGCATGTGTTGTTCAGCTTACCAGAAAGAAACTTTTTTGCTTGTGCGTCAGCTGGTGCTTGAAATGATTGCATGGGAGTTATGGTTCTGAAATCAGCTGGAGCTGCCACCCTGCAATTAATTAAAGCAATACTGAATTTTTGCAGTCCCTCTTAAAAAAGGCTGTTTCGTGCTAAAGCAACTTTCCATTGGTTAGCATATCTATGGCATTCTGGCTGCCCTGCAAGGCAGAGGTCTTGATGAATTACTAGCAGTACTGTTTAAATCGCAGGCACCTGCCTAAGAATGTGGTGCACAGCATGTGTCACCTGTCTTCAGGACTACTTGTAATGAGCTGAAATTGGGTATAAGAGTGACTACATCAAGTAGGACTGACACTGCTAGAGAAGAAGCTGGAATAATGATACTGGCCAGGTCAATTTTGTGAATCGAGGGATTGTCTGCCATCACCCACTAGGATTTATAATTTAAGGGTGGTTTTAATGGAGTGAGAGAAGACGGACAAGCACATCTTTTAGCATCTCTGAATACTTGAGCTGTGGTTTTCACTACCTGGTTACAATTGGTCTTGAACAGTTAAATTGATGAGCAGAGAAGGTTAAGATGTTGTGTTTATTAAGCATATTGCACAGTTCTGCTTGTTTCCTTAAGTTGTTCATTATGCCAGCTGTCTGAAGCATTTTCATGCATCCTGCTTTTTGCTCCTGCCCTGACTTTGCTATAGTCCTGCCTATTCCTTGCCTCATACTACCTTACAGTACCGTCTCCAGGCTTCACTATGTTTTGACTTGACTTCTGACCGCAGTCTCATCTTGTCCACCTATTTGGTATGTTTCTCAGCTTCTCTTTACAGACCTTTGGCCCTGCTCCTGCCCATTTTTTGCACAGATTGACTTGGTACAGCCTTTGAATTTTCAGATGCCTGTCTGTTTACTGAATGTGGAAATATGTGGTGGGAGTAAAGGTCTGTGTAGCCTTGTGCTCTGCTTTTAAAAGTGGTTATGAAAAGAGTATATGAGGAAAGGCAAGTACAGAGCTGGCCTTCCCTTGGTATGTGCTTTCAGCTTCTTACTGATGACGGAGAGTTTCAATTTCACTTAAATTGTTGGAATTAGCCACTAATGGCCTGGTAGTTGGAGTCCTACAGGATCTTAAATTGCTGTTTAATGTTAAAACAAGAATTCTGTCAGCTTTTTAGTCTGACCCCTAAGGAATTAAGACTTAATGTGATCATCCTGTCTATTAGGCTAAGACTTGATGTGGTGGGTTGAAATAGTGATGGCTTCACACATATTTGAAAGCAAGCTGATGGTTTCAAAGATAATTAAGTTCTGCAGGCTGCATGAGAATAGTGTCTGAACCATGAGAAAAGAAATGAACCTTATCTTGCAGCCTGTTTTGTGTCATGTAATTCAACAGGCAGGGCAAATCCATAGGAAAGCAAGCTTTCAGTTGTCTCTTCTTTTTCAGCATACCATAATTGTTTTTTCTTTGCACATGAGTGTGTTGCTGTTTGTGGTGTCATCCATTTGTGGGACAACTTGCAGTGTGTTATTTTGGAGGTTGGTAACATTGCAGTAGCTTGCTTTTGGGAAGGTGGTAACAGTAACCCAGGTTAACACTGCTTGCCTGTCCGGTTTTCAGATAGAGATTACATTGGTGGTTAGAGATTCAAAATTGGTAGCTTGTCTATAGTCTGATGTTTCTATCAGACTGCCCTAAGTAAAATCTATCTGCTTGCTTAATTTCATGTGTTGCAAAGACGACCCTGCTTGCAGCATATCCCCAGATAAGAGCCTCGGAGCTCTGAAATTAACTTGTTCATTCCTTGGCCTGAAGTAACCTGAATTCCATCATTTGGGCCTAATGTAAAAGAAGCTTCGGGGTGAAGGCTGAGGATATTTAAGTCTTTTTTGCTTTCTTTTACTTGATAATGATGTTTTTGCTATGGAATAGCAATTTGCAGCAGTAGGGGGAAACTCAGGACTAGCATCACTGAGAAACAAAACAGAGTTATGAAACCAAGTATGGTTTCCTTTGCAATTTTATTCTTGTTCTGTTTTTTGTTTGTTTGTTTTTATGTATCATTGTTTTGTGGTTTGTTTGGGGATTTTTTTGTTTGTTTTTTTTAACCTTCCCACAGCAGTAACCCCAGCTGGCCCACTATGATCTTTGCTCCCCTAGCAAGCACTGTTCTATGGATACTGTCTAATAGCAGGCATGTAGGAAAAAGTGCAAGAGTATGGTAACTTTTCTCTGATACACTGTGTCCTAAGCTTCCACAACTTGTGGAACAAAAGCAGTATTTCAGAGGCTGGCTGAATATTTGGGAACTTGCTGTGTGAGGTGTGACAGATTTAGTTTCACAGAACCATAGAAGGATTTTGGTGAGTTGCTGGCAAAACTGCTAGTGGGGTAACACCAGAACCAGTAGCTTTTGCTGAGTACAGGACTGTAATTCCTTCACTGTTTTTTTTCTTCACACTTTAAGCACTGGCTGATCCATTAATGCAGCAAGTCTATCCTTGACAAAAGAAGATTATACAACTAGTGTTGGCGAACTCGTCTCACAGTGGTTAGAAATGTGAAAACTGTGATTTATATTTGTATTTTAGGCAAATAGAATAGCTAATGATTTAGTGACTCTTGAACCTTCGAATAAGATTGCAAGTTACAAAAATGATAAAAAGGTATTTGAAGACAACCTGCTTGAATAAAAACATGAAGTAGTATATTTGAAGATGCTTCTTTTGTAGTGCTTTTTGACACTGCGAAAGAGTTGTATATGCTACTTATTTTGTAAGTGGGCCTTGGGTGTTCTTTTGACAGACATGCATGGAGGGGATATTGTGGATTGATTTCTGATACTTGCTCATGCTCATTTTGTGTCTGGCTATGTATAAGTATAAGGCTTCCTGGCTTCCACTGAGCCAGGAAGAAGATACCTGAGATCTGATTCATCTAGTATGAGAACAGGTGACAGCTTAGAAAACAAGCATGCTTTTTCTTTTGATGATGCTGATTCCCCAGAAAAAATAACATAATCCATGTATGAAATATCTTTGATGGTGTACCTTCAGTGAAGCTGAGCTGTCATAGAAGACAAAACCTGTAAAGGCAGTGGCAGTTTGACCCACAGGATGTCTTTTGGAAGCACTTGCACAGGGAGACTCCTGCTACTTTGCTGGGTTGGGGGTGGCTATAGATTTTGTTATTTTTGTGGGGGGAGGAAATGGCCTATAGTCAGCCACAGCTGCTTTGTTGCAAAAAACTATGCATGACACGTACAATCATGGTTTAAATTATCTGTATGTGTACTGGTCTATTAAAAATTGAACAAGTACCAAGTGCCAAAATCATGAAAATGGTTTTCCTCACAGGAATTCATGAAAATATTTCAATGAAACTGCAATAATTCAGCTGAGTATTTAAGTTTGCAGCGTAATATAGTAAAGTAGTCATGTACTTGTACCAAAATTTTTGTCCAGAGGACTGGGGGGGAATCTTTTTCAAACAAAGGGGAAATAAAGGCTGCTTTGCTTCTTTTTGTTTTCCCTCATCTTCAGCTCTAATCAAATACATCCGGCCAGTATTTGTATCTCGGTCAGACCAGGATTCTCGCAGGAAAACTGTTGAAGAGATTAAGAGGCGTGCTCAGTCTGATGGTAAATGGCCACAGGTACTGTATACTACTACTGTGTGACAGATGGTATTTGGCATTTCCAGGCTTCCGATATGCAGTTTACTTTTTTCCTTGTGGAATTCTTTAGATGGTTTGTGGAGGGTGGGATTCCCCCCTGCCTTTCTAGAAGATAGAATGTAAGATTATCTTATCTGTACAAAATGCTAGCTTTTCATTGCAGTGTGTTTCAACGGGAGACTGGGTAAGTACATGGGAAGATAGCTCTATTAAGTGATACCAAATGGACAGACCACAGCAGATTTAGAAAGTCCTCTAAGAAGGAAATAATTAGGTGCTCAGCAGAATACCTGGGGAATTATTGTGTGTTCCTGCCCTTCTCAAGATTTTGGCATGCTGTCACTGTTGGAGATGTGATACTGGCCAAGACAGCCCAAGCAACTCAGATGTTCCAATAACTGGAGTACACCTCTGTTGGACCACATGATGAAAACATTGCTAAAAAGTGGTTTAGGGTTTTTTTTTTCTCAACCTGAAATGTGACTATTTATAATGTGCCTTGGAAGAGAGTAGTGGGAGGAAAGGGATGACTACCAAAGGTGTCAGTTTCTTGAAAGCATGTGATTATTTTGAAAATTTGAAGCATTCTTCTTGTGAATTTTTTTTGATTAAGATAAGGTATGTCTTTTGCGACATTGTTACTACGACAGTGGTTACACCCAGGTACTGGACTACATAAACATTATAAACAGTTATAAACAATGTGACAGAAAGGTGATACATAGCTTTCACATCATTACTTTCATCAACAGATTTCAAAGCACTTTAAAAAGTAAATATTCTTACTTACAGATTAAGAAACTGAGTTGCAGAGCTGAAGTGATTTAGAGAATATCTAGCAGGTTTTGGCTTTTTGCTGTCTGAAACTTTTTTTTTTTTTACAATCTAACCTCTTCCTCTGAATGTGGTTCAACTTGAGTATTTTTTGCCTTGTTAGAATTCTGTTTAGATATTTTCAGCCTCTGTCATTCTGATATCTGTGCACATGCCAAGTAATAAATGCAAAAAGAAAATAACAGTCTTCCTTTTCTTAGCCTATAGGCAGGTAGCTTGGGAGCAGGAATTTTGTTTTGGTGCAAAACAGAATATGATATTTTTACCAGCACCAAAACCTTTTGTGAAAATTCTCTTGTACTCACAACTGTTTCTGATTGCTGTCAATGTTCAAATTGAATAAAATGATTATCAGAGGCCAAGAAAGAGACAAATTCACTGATAAAGACAAATATTTTTACTACTAAGACAGAACTTTACTTCTTTATTGAGCACTATTTTTTTATTACTCTGAACTGTTTTCCCTGAAAACTTTTTTACTGTAATCAGTTAATGTTAGCTTTGAAAAGATGTGTTTATAAATAAATCCACACTGAAATAGTTCTTAAAAGTAATTTTTTTTTTTATTACTAGATAATGATATTCCCAGAGGGCACTTGCACAAACCGATCCTGTCTAATTACATTCAAGCCTGGTAGGTATGATGCTCATTTCTCTGTTCTCTACAGAATGTTCTTGTATCTTCATTTTCTGAAATACCACTTGCATTGTAATTTGCTTGCTGTTGCAGAAGTTGAGTTAAAAATTGCAGTAGCATGGAATTAAAATAGAAATTTTCTGATGCTACAAAAGGATTGTAGTTCCACCGTTGAGCAAAACGGTTTAGATAATTCAGATGTTTTTTTTTCTTGGCTTGTGAGATGCATGTGAGCTGGAGGAGTAATGTTTCTTACTGGGTTTTTGTTTGTGGTTGTCTTTCTTTTTCTTTTTCTTTTTTTTTTCCTTGCCCCCTCCATTTCCTGTTTGGGGTCTGTCATGCAGCATTTAGATAACTTAAGTTTTATAGTGTATCAGTGTGTATCTATTTCAGGCTGCTGCAGCCTTTGTTGCTGTGTTGTACGTGGTTGATTCCTCTCCAACTCTTCTGTTGAGTTGCATTCTGGTGAAGGTGGCATGAGAATCTTGCCAGTATAGCACTGTTACAGAGGCTGTCATTTTTTACAATATTTTTTTAACATCCACATTCTAAACTCTTTTCAGTTACTATCACTCTTTTAGCTTATCAAATTATTAAAGGGTATAACACTGGACTTCGTTGCAGCTGTAAACTGTAGTTACAACAAGGAGAAATGCCAATATTGCAGTGAACCACCAATGTTTAATGTAAACTTGCCTTTATGATGTAGGTAGGGAGATGGTGAATGAGGAAGCTGCAGTGAGTGAGGCAGTTGTGAATGTGTTTTTTTACTCTTTCTAGGTTTCTGCCTAGCTCATTGTGTTCTGGTGTTACTGTGTGTCTTATATTTTGTATTGCGTACAACTTGCATATCGCTATTAGAATATCATGCAATGAATCAGCATTGTAATTCCTTGCACTGATTCATTTGGCTGAAGGAATCTCAGTATTGTCTCCTGAACAAACATTCAAAAAGCTTTTCTTCCTCCCCTCTCAGCTCTTTACCTTTTTAGATGAATGAGTGGTGGTTAGGAGAATATCCACTTCTTTCACTCTTTACTCTTCCTTTCCCTCCCTCTCCACCTGAATCCTGGCCATGCTTTGAAAACCAGCCTGAATCCTTCATTAAACCCCTGATTTCCTGCTGTCCCTCTGCCGTAGACATTCTAGGCACCATATACTTTCTGCCTCAAATCCCCACTCTATCTTCCTCTCCTGGTCTAGTACCTGCTGCTGTCTGTCTCTTGACTGTCTCGCTTTTCCTACTGGAACCTGCTTCTGTATCTGTCCAGCCTCCCAGAAATACTTTGCCTCAAAATTCCTCGCTTATATCAAATTACTTAGGTGTCTATTCAAGTAACTGCTTTCAGGGTGCCTTTCCCCATTCTACTCAAGTGGTCTACACTCCTTGCTCTTACTACACAGTTTTTTGGTTTTGTGTTCGTGCAAGCTAGTCATACAGGGCTAGTCTAGTTTTGTTTAAATGGTGGTCTTGTCATCTACCACTCAGATTTTTGTCATCTTTGGATTCTTTCAAAAGTTGCTTAGGGTCTTGGTTTTGGAGACTGAACAGAAAATACCACTGGGCCAAGAACTAAATCTTTGCAGGATCCCATTCAGACAACCTTCATTTAAAGATGTGTAAACTCCAGTAACTATTACTTCTTTTACAACTATGCAAGTATTCTGTAAAGCAAATGTAATGCTAAGAATACAGTATACTTCCATCGGTCAGTTCTTAATTTTAATTGAAATAGTAGGCAGAACTTAGTAAATTGCTATAAAAAACATAGTTTGAGTGAAGACTGTCTTTATTGTTTTCACGAGAAAAAGATGTTTAGAGAAATCTTGAGCAAGATAGTTATCATGCCTACCCAATCTTTGTGCTAGAAACCAGGAAAATGATTAGCAAATGACATTTATGGATCTTGTGCTACTTATTTACCAGAACTATAATTCTCATATGAAATGAAGTGATACTTCCATGCAACAGCTTTAGTTCAATAGCTTCTATTAGATTTTTCCATAGCTACAGAATAAATAAATAAGCCCTTCTGAGGGGAATTAAGGTGGGAGAAAAAAGTCAAGTTAATTCTGTTACTTCAGAGATGATAAATTTCCTATAAATCGGTGTTGCTCAGCTAAAAATAGGAAGCTGCTTTTGCATAAGAAAGCTTAAGTTCTTCACCAAAAAATACTGTTGACCACAGAGAATATATTGACTTAAATATCTTGCACATACTCATAGTTTTTAATCATTTATCAAGCTGAATTTGGTACTGGGCTTTGACTTGTGTACATAACAATTTATGTAAGTGGTAGAGGATAATTTAGAGAATGCAAGCAAGCATTCGTAATTATTTATCTTCTGAAAAGATGGTTATACATTGTCATTCTTCAGTGCTTGCTCTTTAGATTACTTTTGAGGCTACTTTTGGGTCTTATTTTTCCTCTATCAATTAATTCTTATGCATATCAGCACAGTAATTGTATAATTTTTTTCTTTACTGCAATAAATTTCTTCTGCACCAAAATGCACTATGAAGTAATGATTTGTTGTATGTGCCTTCTAGGAGCATTCATTCCTGGAGTTCCTGTACAGCCAGTTGTTTTGCGTTATCCAAACAAACTGGTAAGTTCAGCTTGCAGTAGGTATGGGGCATTTTCCTCTAAATACATTGGCACTTCTGTAATCTTTTAGGTTACATGATTAGATTTGAAGTTTGGCAAGCATTAGTAAATGCTTATTGGCTAAGTATGTGTTGCTTAAGCCTCTAGCAATATAAATAGTCTTAACTGAGATAGTTTAAATGTTTCTGCTTTTATTAGGTTACTCTTTTAAAACAGTGCTCTGAAAGTTACTGAGGTTGTTACAGGAAGTACTGTACAAATGACAAGACAAATGTCAATTTCTGCCTTGGATCTGTGTTCCCATGTGCTCCGTGTTCCTACAGTGTGGGCTGGAGAGTTTTTTTAGTATAATTTATTGCTGGAAGATGCTTCTGCACCTCCTGCCTGTGGGGTTGTTAGTCACAAATTAATGCAACTAGATAAATGATAATAGAATAATGTTTGGGGGACCTCGTCACCTTTATAAGGTGTCTCAGTGTCTGGTTTACATTCACTATGCACTTGGCTAAGGAATGCTAGACACTAGCTAATTTGGAGTAGTCCTTCAATATAAATCAGATTCATGTAAATTATATGTGCAAATTATAGTGTTTATTTACAATATCTAAATTAAACAATCATTACAAATGCTTGTAAAGATATAGGGAAACAAATGAAGATAAAGCTTACTTCATCTACTTCCAGACCAAGCCTACAGGAAAGCACAGAAGAGGTGGTGGGGGTTTTTTTATATTATTATTATTATTCATTTTACCTCATGTAGATACTTTCCTATTGTACTGCAGCCAGAATCCTGTCTGTCTACATTCCTCAGTTAAATAGAAGATGCTTCCTAGTGAACTTTGCTAGCTTTTATACTTGAAGTTTCTTTTTGAGCACTGTTAGGCTATTTTCAGGTCCAGTCTGTCTCCTTCTAAAATATAAGTTATTTAGGGGAGTGTGGGAGGAGTGTCAGAAGTAAAATAAGGACTGCCTTGCCTCTTTGCTGATGCATGTCACATCAGAAGATCTCATGTAGTCTCTCTTTGACTAACCCTTTAACAACCCCTTGATCTAAGGAGTTCATTTCTTCTTGGTACCCAAGTGCTTATGTTTTAAAGTGTTTCCATCCATTGTTCTTTCTGTCAGTTTGCAGGTTGATACAAAACATACGCTTGATTAAAAAAGAAAATAACCTAAGCAAAGTTAATACACATAGAACACCATTTGCTCTTGACTGAGACAAGGTGTGATGGCAGTCAACTAGTTTGCAGTAACAAACCCCAAAATTATCCTTGCGGATGCTGTGACAAGTCTAGCAGTCTGTTACGCTCTCATAGTATTAAGTGCATTGTAGCAGTTTGCCTGGAACTTTTCATTACATAATTGTTTTATTTTCAGGAAGAAAGATTCTTTTCTAAAAATATTTTTAAACCTTTATTGCACTACCAGTTTAAATTGCAAATATGCACATGCCTTATGTCATACTTAATATACCTTGTTACTTTTGGTTAATATTAAACTTATTTATAACAATATAAAGCTATCAAACATTAATTTGCAAATGTTAAAAAATTCATCTTCATCCTGAAATGTCCTTATTGCCTGTAGTACATAATATGCGATGTTTGTCAACTAATATTAAATGTCCCTAATACTCTATTAACGGAAATTGTGAGCTTTTTGCAGTGAAGTAAATCAATGTAAATTTTAATGAAAATTTTCGTAATTTTTTTATATTACTGCAAAATGTTGTAAAAGAAACTGTAAATATTTATATAGATATCCATTGGACTTCGCCTGAATCTGTGTATGAAACTTTACTTTTTCCTACTACTTTTAATTGCTGTAAAACAGTTAGTTTTCAGTGCCTTACTGAGTCATTTAACCTCCTAAGGTCTACTTCCACTAAGCATTAATGGGGGGATGATAATTGCTATTAGTATTTGATTTTTAGATTATCTTGGGGGCTGCAGAAGAGTTGCAGCAAAGTTAGAATGAGGAGAAGGAAGGAGGAGGAGTATGATGTGATACATGAAGGTGAGATTTATTTTGGTTAGGATGCAGTTAAGAGTTAGGTAGCAAGCAAGAGTCGGGAGAGAACATTGTTTTTCATACGCTAAGGCAGCATTTCTAGCAAACTTTAATTGTCTCTGGCTTTCTGTTTGTTGTCTTGTTTGACTGCTGGATATTATAATTTTAGGTTTAGAAAGTAATTTCTTAAGATCTTCGCTTAGCCTGTGAATTCCAGATATGCACTGTGTGCAGTCACCCCACTGCTTTTAGCTTGAACTGCCTGCTCTGATCTACCTTCAGAGCTCTGAGTTCCACAGTACAGATGCAAACAGTCTTGGACTTGAGTGCAGCTGACTGTTCTGGGAGGCTTTTTGAGATCAGAGCCTGGGGTGAGTGTAGTAGGTATGTGCACTCTTACATGTTTCTTTCTTTGTACTCTGTTCAAGAACTAGGTAAAGTACTACTGTTTGGCAGTGGACTGAAAAGTGGCAAAAGTGATGATGATAAATTCAGTTCTTTTCTAGCAAATAAATCTAGTTCTGGTTGCCATGAAGAACTCTTTCTAGTCAGGGTTGCCCTCTGAATACCTTTCTTCTTTGGGCTTGGGATTGTTTGCAGTAGATGATGCCTCTAGTCCTGTATCAATGTTTCTTTAGGAGTAGTATGTTAGTATGTTGCTCCCCTTGATGCATGAGCAGAAAGAAATTGTTAAGGTTTAAAGTATTGTTTAGACCTGAAATTCAAAATTTGCTTCTGTTTATCTAGTTTGGTAGTATTTTCCCTATTGGATGCTTGACAGCTATTACCTACATTTTAATTAAAATAAATGCTCTGTCTCCGTCCATAGGTTCTGCAGCAATCCTTTTTGCAATTCACTTGTACACACGAAGAATTTTAGTGTAAAGCATTTCCTTCTGTCAGAGTGCTGGTGATTACGAAAGGCTATATACCTGTTTAAATATCACAGAGCCATTTAAAATATATTTTTATGTCCCAGTGTCTTCCACAGGTAACTGTGCTATTTGATAAGAGGTTTGGCAGCATCTCTTGTGCAGCTTTGTTGTGTCAGGGTTGACTGAGCATGTAAAAACACAGCCTATCTGCTGTTTGAAGCTTGGCATGATTCTCAGTATCTTCTTGTGTCAAATACAAATTATATGGAAGATCTACTTCCACACAATTCAAAGGATTCATTATCTAGATACAAAAGTTTCAAAGTGTACTCAGAATGCTATCGAAGTGAATGCTGTCCATAAGCATAAGCCAGTAGCTGTGATAAAATATAGAAGGTATCTAAACTAGGTATAGAAAATACCACTTCCTCTCTTCTGCTTGCTGATTTTTATCATTAAAATATTGGATATGCTGGCAGGAGTCTCCTGCAAAATAGGTCTGCCTCTTGCAGACCAGAAACCTGTTTTCCACTACATGGCACTTAGTCGTCATCCCTGCTGCATCCTGATGTTCTTGATGAGAAAAAGCATGCATGTCTGCTGTGACATTCATATTAGGAATTTCTCGCAGGATTGTTGATAGATACGTGGCTTATTTGAGTTTGTCATGCCAGCTAGCCAGCACAATGGCTGGATTCTGAAAATACCTATTTGCTGTGCAGTGATCCATTGCCCAGGCAAGGTACCTTTATAGAGCTTGCTTTTCTTTGTCTCTTTCTGCACTGTTGTAATTTAGAGAGCTGAGTTGGATATGTGTAGTGCTGTGTTGTTGTTCTGTATGGTAGTTTCTGATTAGAGACATTATCAGCTATCTACATTGCAATGGTCAGGGTTTATAAATGAAAGTTCCTTGTGGAAAAAACAAACCCCATAACATGTTTACGTGGAGTATTATCAGAGACATCAAAATTGCCAAAACCAGTTTAACAGTAAAACTACAGACATTAAAGTTCTACAAGATCATTACGCGGAAAAGTCTATTTTCATGCATGTATGTTGATTGCTAGAGATAGAATCATTCTTTATCATATTTTGTTTGATTTAAAATAATTGTTGAAAGTCAGGATTTAAATTTTTAGTAGCCCTTCATGATAAATTGACCTTATCCCAAGCTGTCGATCTATCATATTAGTCACATTTTTCACCTTTTATGGATGTGTTGCTTGCTCTCATTTTAACTTGTGACAGCCTTTTGCTCTAAATGGTAATTAAAACATGAGTTTGACTTGATTTTTCGAGATCATGGCACATGTGATCACCTAAACTCTCTAAAATGGTTTGGATGGTAGCATAGAACTGAACTTGGAACACTTTCAGTAGGTTGATAGACATATCTTTCTGATCTTGTCTTTTAGAAACCTGAATTTACCAAGTCCTCTTGTCTTTCCATTAATGACTTGTACGTTTTTTCCCCGGTTGTTCAGAACAGTAGCTTGGAACTCATTTTCAGGTTTTTGGATACTTACTTCTATGCTTAAATTTCATCTCCAAGAATTGCAATTTTTTTCCTACGGTGTTTCTTAGTCTTACAGTTAAAAATGTGATGACCTTTACTCTCATGTTCCTCCTTGTCACCAGTTATATACTTCTTTCCAGGTCTCCATTCTTTTTTTGCTGGCTGGATCTTGTTCACTTTTTTCACTGCTATTTGTCCTCTCTTAGTGTTTTACACACTGCTCGTTGCAGCCATCTAAAAGTTCTGCTGGTCTTGCCTGAGAGTAAATTCGTGGGTTTAGGTGTCTTATGTGCCTTTTGATTCTTGGATCAGGCAGGTGGCTGTATGCTGTCTGTGAGTACAGGGAACTGGAAAAATACTGTTTTGAGGTCCGACTTAAGGTCTTACTTGTCCTACTGCTTCATGGCAGTTAAGCAGACTTCAGTCATCTCCACAGGTCCCAAACACTTCAGAAGTGTTATAGAGTGTTCATATCTGTTGCTGTGAGGTCTGTGTAAAGTGTAGGGGGACACCCTGTCAGGCAGGATGGGTTAGGAAAATACACATGGACTATGCATATCAGAGAACTTCAGCTCACAATAAAGAATTTTCTTTTCCAAGGCTAACAGCATTTGAAGAAACCCTGGATTTTTAACTGTTTTATGAATATAGATATTCTGTGTTTAAGAGCTGGGTTACTGGGCATTTCCTAGCTACCTAAAAGGTAGGCTGGTTCCTGTTGGGGCTAAGAACTTTTGCAAAGAAGGCACTGAAGTTCCGTGAAAACCTTTTAGTCGTATGTCATCAGTTATACTAACTATAATGTAACAAAAGTTTAAAGTACAGTAATTAACTGCAACTGTCGTGCTTCTTTTCTTAGGATACAATCACGTGGACGTGGCAAGGGCCAGGAGCGTAAGTGGTTTATGTTTAATTGCTTATACCATGATTGCTTTCCTTCATCAGTTTTTATTTACATGACTTATAGGCATATATAGTCAAGTAGTAATTGCTGGTTATTGGCTTATTCTCTGGGATTAATTTGTCTTTTATCTATTATTACTTAGTTATGATAATACTCAGAGGAATTCAGGTATAAACAGTATAATTCTGCTGCTATGATTTTGGTGGTTTGCAGAATGGATTTTAGGTTTTTATTTCAAACTTTTTTTTTAAGCCAAGTGCATTGATTTGGTGTGTTTCTGTATAAAATCTGTATGGCTATTGTTTGAAATTGGTCTAGTCCCATGGAAACAGTCAACTCGGAATTTGGAGATACTGTTTCCATTATCTTGCCTGAATGCAACTTTGAGGTTTGTTTGGTTTTTTGGGGGTTTTTTTAGCCCGAAATGTTTTTCTAGAGGTTCCTTAGTAAATTTATGTAAAATACTAAATGAAGCAGTTCTGGCTTGTTTAAAAAGAAAAGTATTTTTTTAGCATTATTTTCATGTTGGGGTTGGACTAGTTCTAAAGTGTTTCGATGAAGATCAAAACAATAAATTTTGAACCCTACGTAACAGGGAGTTGGTTTCTATGGTTAATGGCTTGCCATTACCCTTCTTGGGAACTGTTGTTTTGAATGTCCCACCTGAGATGCTGTATTTTAGTAGTAACAAGGAAACCATTGGGATTAGCCAAGATTCAAGTAATTTAGAGTTTTGTGAATTAATTTTGCACCTTCAAATGGACTGGGAAGCAGGTCTAATTAAGGACATGTCTAGATCTAGAGACTTGAGGAAATCATTGATCACTTTCAAAGGTTCAGCTTTTAGTGAAATCATCATGTTGGAAGTGGATGAATCCATGATAGTGTCTAAAGTAAGTAGGTACTGCAGCATTTACTGTATGCAGGGATTTCTTTTCTCTCCTTGTGAGTTCCTACCTCTTCCCTTGCATTTGCACTGTAGTTCATCTAGCACATTAACTCAGCCAGAGGGGAGAAAGGTGAGTAGCTTACTTCCAGCTTAGTCTCCTACCTGAGGAGTCAAGAACACACAGGAGGAAGAAGAGGGAAGGAACTTGTAGGTGTGTTGCCTCAGATCACTTCAATGTGTACAAAACCCTTACTTGGAAGTGCTGACCACTGCTTAATAAAGTGAAAATAAATTAAAGCTGAATCAGAATCTGAGGCAGCACGTGATGTTATGCAGATTCACTGGGTCAGTTTAAATTACAGCCTTACTTAATTAGGATTAATTCTCCTGAGTGACCTAAAATGTATTTCTGATGTCTTAGCAGAAAATACTGTTAAGACTGATACAGTCTTCACTTTCTCAGCAAATGTCTCTCTTCTGTCATAGTGTTAGCCAAAACTTAATCTGGAAATGCTGATGTATCCAAGAGTATTCTGTTTGTTCAAAGTTGTTGTAGCCTATAAAATGGATTGAAAACTTGTCACATGGAAACTATGCACTTCCACTTACAGTAGTTACTTACAGTAATGTTTTTACTATTTTGACAGTATTCAGAGCAGATCAACAGATTCTACCTTGAAAATAAAGATTGACTATAGCATACAACTTAAATTTTTTCTACATCAGGCTTGAGTTAGATACAGGTTCTATCAGTTTTTTATGTTGATATTTATAATTTAAGGTTTAATCTTTGAGGATTACAGAGAGTTGACAGAGAGAAAAGTTTACTTGTCCAAGAGCATTAAAAATCTCTAATAAATTACAAGGACCTAGAAACCAGACTTTCATATTTCCTGTCAGTGACATGAACTTCAAATCACAAGTTCCCCTGTTGTTCTTGCTCCTTTTCTTTGCTTTAATGTGTTCAAAGTTCAGTAGGAAAGAAGGGAAAAAAACTGTGTTGCAGCCCTGAATGAGTGTATAGCAAAACGAGCAGGGTGTTGCTTCTAGGAACTGCACTTTATCTGCCTAAGAGGATTTTGACCAGCCTTCACTTCACAGTGATTGATTGCTGTAACTACCTAGATACTGTATAAAATGTGGCTACTGACTCTGCTCCCTATTTTGGGTTTACTAAATCCTTTCCTGGATTTGAATCTTCCTGCTTTCTAAGATCAAGTTTATTCCAGTATCTTGTGTCTTAGGCTACTAAAACACATGTACTATTACAGACTTCTGAAGTATAATGAACTTTGATTCCAAACCAAGTTAATAATAATATCGCAGTGATTATAGTTAATCTTGCCAGCTCTATGCTGAATACAGCATTTTCTTGAAACAGACATTCTTTCCACACTATGTGTACATCATATCTTACTGTATGTATTAGTACCTGTATATCATATTACTGCTTGTCTCCCTGCTTTTGGGTATCTTTTAAGATGCAACTTCAGTGTAAATTGCTTTTGTTCCACCTTACAGAATGTAATGTATAGAATTACTCACAAAGACCTTTTCTGTTAATTTTTTATCTGAATATGATCATACCTACAAGTAGGAATGTTACTTGAAGACTTCGGAGCATATTGTACTACTGTTTCACTACATGTAAATTTTTTCCCTTATCCTTTTCCCTTTTTTTTTTTTTCTTTTCCCTTTCAGGTTAGAAATTCTATGGCTTACTTTGTGTCAGTTTCACAATTCTGTGGAAATTGAGGTAAGTAAAAAAACTCCAGTGTATTCTGAGCAGTATCAGAATACATAATATTGTACGTAATTCTGAAGTAAAAGTTTGTATTCCAACTTCATATGTTAACACACTCTGTAAAAATAGGTTAAAATACCACTTATGTTTTAGACAAATGGCTTCTGTATCTGAAAATGTAGCCTAAAAATGGAGTAACAAAATAAAGTTTTCCACTTGGCTTAAGACTTTACTTTCTTACTCATTTAAATTGAGTAGATAGATTTCTGACTCTGTTTAAAGAGTCTTTTGTGAACAAATTTCTTGTCTTTTAATCACCTGATTGCTATTCCAGCTAGTATACCAACTGTGTATGTTAGATATCCAAGTGTGTGAATGCTGATGTACAAACCTAAGGACTCACTTCTAGAGAAAAATCATTTTAAGTGGTTTCTTATAGGCCAGATAGGTTATTTAATATGTCTGGCTAATTTTTTTATTAGGCTGCACTGTTCAGAATGTGAAATTGGAAAACAAAAAGAAAATTTAAGTTTATGTATATTCTTAACTTTGTTTTGAGGGAAACACTATGTGATCCTAAGGCTGAAGACTATCGTAGTGAAAATGTGAAAACAATTAAAACCTTTCCTTTTAAATTGCTATTCTCGTGCATTTTCCAGAGAGTAATTACATCTTTGTGGAGAAGTATGGTGTTTTAAAGGTGTTATAGAGGATATTTGACAGATGTTGTGTGGTTCTTTTGCTTACCTTTTTAATAATGAGGTAGCTACTTATCTCTTACTGATGGCAGGGTAAATTAGTAGGAACTATTACATATTTACATACATGTACGTGTTACTATTGTAACATATAACGTGCTAATCATGGTATTTAGCATTGCTATGCTCTGTGTTTACTTATGCTATAAATCCTTCACAAAAATAATGAATGCACAAAATACCAGCCACTGAGCAGTTCTATCTATTGTAGAAATTTGTGGTTTGTGTTATCACTTTAGTTGCGTGTTTGCAGCTATTAATAGTAAAAAAAAAAATCTTATTCCAAAACAGTGGCCTGGTTTTGGTAGAAGGACAAGGAGTGATTGCCTCATGTAGATACACGACAAACCAGCTAATTGGCAGGATTTTTAGTCTGTCTCAGGAACATGGTTTTCTGCCCTCAGCAAGTAAAATGGGTTCTTTCACACAGAAGTGAACACTGCTGAGTTTTCGTGATTTTTGAGGTAGCAGCTGCTAGCAGATGCTGAGTTTCTGTAGCACATACAGAACTTGCACAAGGACAAGTTATGATCTTTGGTCGTCTTTAAAAAAAAAAAAAGCAAGTGACTTTCTGAAATACTCTGTGCTAAAGCAGGAGCTGGCAGAGGACAGAAGAGCAGAGCTGTTTGCAAGGCTGCTCGCAAGTATGAGGCAGAGTACTTGAGAGCTACTTGTCGAATCTGGTTTTGTAAGGAAGTGCTGCAGATTTAGGAACATAGAGAAAAAAATGAGTTGTTCTGTGTTCAAAGTCATGTTTTTCCCTTGGTTTTCAGATTTTGTTGGCTTTTATTCCTGCTCTGTTCCATCAGCACAGGGATACTGGCTAATACCAACCAGCCTTGATACCAGAATTACTGCTGAAGACCCAATAACTCAGGGAGATGTACAGCAAAGCAACAAAATTTCAATATGGTTCTGATGAAATGATAGCTTGTAAGGTCTAACAGCCAGCAATCAGGATCCAAAGATTGTTAGTCTGGGCTTCTCTGTATATAATGTATGTTCTGGCATACTCTATGTGTCATCCAGCATGTATATTGAAAGCAAGCATCTGTGTAGATTTTATAATGGGTTACTATAAATATTGGCCTGCCCATCCATTCTGTACTTGAAACTGACATGCAAGCAATCTTGTGAAGAAAGGGTATGTGATCACCTGCACATGTAGTTTGTTTTGGCTCGTGTCAGTTTGTTTTGCTGGCCTGTCAGCTTCAGCGTTCATACATCCATCAGCCTGCAGCAGCTGAGAGTTCTCTTAGTTTTGTTAGTGGTGCTGAAATGATAATGCTGTTTCTGTCCAGTTAGGTGCAGACATGTAGAACACGTCTGCAATCACCTCATATTCCAAGTTGTCCTGATAGCAATTTGCAACTCAAAGTAAAAGAAACAGAATTGGGCTTGGAGCTCAAAGGAACAATCTTTCTGTCTCTGTGAGCTTCACAGTCTTGTCCTTTTGTATAGTACATCACATCAGGCTGGTGCCACCTGCTTGTAAACCTAGAAGACAGGAGGCATAAGTTTTCAATTGCAGTGGTGCATATAGGGAAAGCTGTAGCAAAACCCAAAATAAACTAAAGATTTGTCCATCACTGAATACTTCTAAGAAACAGACAAATAATGGCAGCATTTTGGGTACTGCTGATCATACCATTATTCTTTTCTGAAAATATAGCTAACTTCATAGTTACTGAGAAATATTTGCTTAAATGATAAAATTTATATTTATTCCCCAATTCTTATTTTCTTTTCTAAAGACCAGTGTGAAATTTCTGGGTCATAATTCCCATTTTGTATTACTGATAGGTAATTATATGAAATATAACTAAGCTTATTACACATTTGGTTTCTACTTCAGAAGCTTTCCACAGGATTACAAACATTTTGCACACTTGGTGCATAATTTATTTCATTACGTTGCATTACTAGGGGAATTGTCTGTCTGGGACTGAACAGGGGTGGGAATTGGAGTGATCCTTTCTTGTTCCTTCTCTCTGAGAAGTTAGTTACTCGGCAGAAATGGGATGTTTGAGGGTTTTTATAGGCAAGACTGGCCATGATCTTGGGACTTGCATATTTCAATGAACACTTAAAAACATAGCTAAAAGCTAGAAGGTCTATTAATATAGGCCTTCCCATTTTGAAAGCTGCCTTTTCTGTTGCAGATCTCTGGCAGTTGTGGTTTAATTTTCCCTTTCCAACCTCAACTGTTCTGTGGTTCTGTGGCCATCTGCATTTATTTAGAATTTTTCTTTCAACTGAGTATTAATATCCAGTGTCCAATTTGAAGGAGAAATTTTTCAAAACATCCGACAGCAAAAGATAAAAACACTTCTAATGTGTACATTAAGCAGTCATATATGATTCAAAATGTGCAGGGGGAACAGTAAATACCTGATGTCCTGAGAATCTGAATTCTTGATATTTAAGCTATAGAGCAGGTAGCAGGTGCTTTTCTTGGTTGTCTGCAAAGAGGTGAACAATACAGAATGTAAGAGAAAAGTTTGTGCAAGAAAATGCTAATACTTTTAAATAATTTAAAAATTCCTGGTCTCGCTTATGAAAGGAAGGTAAAGCTCTACTTGGGTTCCATGAGGTAAGAAATGAGCAGAGTCACTGTTATGTAAATTTCTAGAAGTATGATGCATCCTTAAGCATTTAAGAGTTCCATTTTTAGGTTTTTTTAGTAGTCCTTCTGTTAATATTATTTTGTAAGTAGCAACAAACTGTATTCATTTTTCACCATAGTGCTATAATCGAGGTTGTTTAAAATGTTAAATATTCTTGGTATAATTCAGTTCTCTGTATGCAGTTTCTGCCTGTGTATATTCCTTCAGAAGAAGAAAGAAAAAATCCAGTGTTATATGCCAATAATGTCAGACGTGTAATGGCAGAGTAAGTATGTTTTAATATGGAATAAAAATACATGTGTGATTTTAATTTTAGGATCAAGAAAATGTCATGAAATCAAGTCAGTGTAGTTGCCTGCTTGCAAAGAAGCTTGTAGTCTGCAGTAGTGTATACAAAACTTCTTATGTAGCAGTTGCCTTCCTCTCTGAGGAGGCCAGGGAGCCACAAATACAGCAGGAACTGTAGGAGTTGGTGGGTTTGGTTCTTCTTTAACATGTCTTCATATAACAAGCCAGTTCTGCTTGCTGCTGTGGATATTTAGTCTTCTGGGGTAAAAGGTATAGTTGAATTTTATGAAAGTTAATGTAACTGAATTTTGTGATATTGAGGTTGCATTTTAAGCAATGACTTTTTAAATGAGGTTAAGAATAGTTTCCTATCTTCATTGTTAGCCTGTGGTTATTTCAAATAGTAAAGCACAGGAAAGCTGCTTCTGTTGGAAATAGGGCACTGATACAATGCAAACTAATTGAAGTTGAATGTTAATGTGAGGATGCTTACAACACTTGTCTATAGTGTATAATAAGGCCAACAATGAATACACAGACCTTCATTGTCTTTTGTTCTATTTTTTATTAACCTCTCTTGTTCGTTCATTTTTTGTCCTTTCAGTAAGTCTTCCATTTGTCAGTAGATTTTCTTTTCAGTATTTACAGAGAACCCTCAGGTGTATGATCATTAATAACTCTTGAAGGATTTATGAACCTTTCTACTCCTAATTTTGAAAGAACTTGTGAAATCTTAATTTCCTTTCTGTAACTTCTCTTCTGTTTCTAAGTTACCAGTTTCAACCAAAGGCCAGTTTGTAGACAAAAACTGGTAATTCTTCTCTGGTTTGTAAGGAGAACCCAGCTCTGTGAGTTTCCTTAAGGATGTTGGGCCTGTAATACAACAATAGATCAATAGTTGATCTGTTGTATGAAAGGACAGTTCTCACAAAAGAAAAATAAAGGATCTGTTTGAATCAACCTGTCTTAAGAGTTGCAGTGGCCTCAAAGACTTTTGTAGTTAATTTAAGACAGTCAGCTGGCACTACAGAAAAAGTGTTGCCCTCAGACTTTGGGTAGAAGAAGGCTCTGTTATGAAACTTTAAATCTGAACTCCAATCAGATGACAGGGATTGTGTGGTATAAGGAGAAATTTTGAAAGACTACAGAAGTTTACAACAACTTGCATGTTGAAAGCCTTCCCTTCTATGTTTGCTTAGAAGGAGAGCAATGATTTTCCTTTTTGTTTCTTCCTCCTACCTCTGAAGAATTAGGCATTTGGGGTAACAGGTCTAAAGGGAACACTGTCAGAATGGGGACAGCAAATATGGCTTGCTTTGAGATGAAGAAAAGGCTGCAGATGCTGTGTTGATGTGAAAGGAAAATAAATGTGTTTGGATATCGAAGTTCTGAAGTTAAAACGCAGATGGGACTAAACCAGAATGCTGACTCCTGGATACCACGGATTACTGTAGACCAGTTAAAATAACATCAACATAGCCAAAATTTATTTACTTCTGACCACTTCCAGATGCTTACTTCTCCTGGCGGTTCTCCAGACTCTCCCAATTAGCTCATGTGGCTTTTGGTGTAGGAGATACCAACTCAGATGCTGCCAGTCTATTTTGGAGCTCTAGCAGTTGCAGCTATTTGGTGCTAGCATTGCACCCTGCGTTGCTGAATAAAGGACAGTATTACTGCTTCATCTGGATTTGTTTCTTTTTCTTGAAGATTGAATTGGTGACAGTGTACCATTTTGATGTCAAGAGGTCAATTCAGTATCTGTTTAGATGTCTGCTTTCCCCTTCATCCCTGCTGTATTTTTCTGGAAGAAGAGTCTAATGCTACTGGATATTTTATAGCCGCAGAGGTGGCAGTCCCAGCTAATAATGCATTTGTAAGTCTAAAACCAGTGTTGCAGCAAAACCTTCTCTCTTGCCCCTGATTTCAAGGGGGATTGATAGAACTTGCTGAGTGCAACAATAGATATGATTTCCACTCCTGAAATCTGTTTGCCTTTATCACACTCTTGTCTTGTGAACAGCTTCTGTTAAGTGTTGAAGAAAGCACTCGACAGCATGTCTGCTTCTTATGCTGCTTCTACTCGCTGACTCTGTGGAGAATTTTTGGTTTAGCCTTACTTGTTTAGATTTTCTGCGGGCAGCCACAGATGCGAGTGATGGGAGTCTCTAGATAGTTCCTGTTCACTTATATATAAACTGAATATTTGACAAAGGAGTTGCTGTCATTCACAGATGTTTGCTTCCTTAGGACATTAGTTTCTTGCATGACAGATTAATTTACTTGCCCCAAAAGTGAAACCGAAAGTGAGCCTGGCCTTTTGGCACTCTGCTTTAGGCCAGGGACTTCAAGCCTGACTGTTCTCCTATGCTTCAGGTTCCCTCAGGCAGCCATACCAATAACAAAGGAAATGCTGTCTTTTAACTGTTGTAGCGCTCTACACATCTTCATGGTATTCCTTCTCATCTGGGATAACAAGGATTGTATACTTTTGAAGATGCATTCAGGTGTTAACCAACCATTTGTATCATTCATCTTTTCTGCTGCCATATAGCATCCATTTGAGTATGAATACACTGGTTTGTTTTTCCTGGACCATGTTGGGGATGATCATCTCATTGATGTGAACATTGTGACGAGAAGTTACTCAGGACAGATTACTGTTCTGCTCTGCAGGCACCCTTTTCTGCTGCTTTTCAGGACCTCATCCACAGACTTTTTTTTTCTAAACTAAACCTAGTTTATGTTTTAATTAATTCAAATGTAACATGAGCTGATCTTTTCTTGATTGATGGTGTTTTTCAGTATTTGTGCACTGATCTGTCACCAAATTCCACAAGAATCCAGGTAATATATTTCTGTTTTTTAAAGGATAGTGCTGTGGTAGAAAATGAATTTAAGGCTCGCAACTTCTACAGACCTTTCAGTTGCACCTGTGGATATTTGCTTCCTGCAATGCTAACATGCAGTCTTATCTTGTGTTGCAATCCTCATCAAGAGGATGAGCAAGATCCAAGCCTTAGTGGTTGATTGCTTTACAGCATCTATAAAACCCCAAAATTTCTTTCTAAAAGGCTTTCTTAATCTCACCTATGCAATTACCAGGTTTTAATGCCTGTGATCTTCAACCTTTTTTTCTCATTGACAGATATTTACTCAGTAGCATTGGGCCAAAAACTAGATCATGTGCAGTCTTGTTACAGCCACTCAGCTCACTGTTTCTTCTGTTTGGGGGATTATCTGTGTAATCAGAACTCATGCAGGATAGCCACTGCTGCTGAATAGTTACTCCATGCTTGTCTTCCCTGGGATCATTTTCTTATTGTGCACAAAAGGTATGTGCAAATTAGATTAATCTACTGTTTAAAGTATGGACCCCTACTTATTCCCTGTCAATATGCTTTGGATTTGATTTTCTCATATAACCTATCTTCCTGAGTGAGTCTGTCGTCTTTGGTCTTTCTGGTCTTGCTCTGACTTCTACTCTGTTTCATCAATGTCCATCTCATCCACAACATGCTGTAAGGAAGTGTGTTTAGAGTCACTTTAAATAACTGAAAAAGTTGAGTGCTTTTAAATATGGCAACAATCCATGCAGGTTCTCACTTTAAAATAAATAAGATTTGGTGATATCTTAAGTTTAATTCACTTCATATGTTTTTTATTGTTCTAATACAGTTCTGAAACCACCATGCTAGTAAGTCATGCCATGTAGATACACATTATATTGGCTCACTTTTTAAAATATTACTTAAAATTGCAAAATCATCATTTTGGTCTTCATGTGTGAGCTGTTATCACCTTACATTGATGGTAGTAAACATGGATTATTTTGATCTGTTAATTTATTAATTTCAGTACTTTTTTCTTCTATATATCTTCTAATTGTGTCAAGTTTTCTGGCCTACATTGTTACATTTTTATTTTTGCTTTTTAAAAAAGTATTTTCAAAGCATTAAGTCATGATTTACAGGAACTACAGTAGTGTTGTAAAATCATTGGTGTGTAGACTTGAGGCTTCAACGCTAGCTCTTCTAGAATTATCAGGAACAAATCATCTGACCTTGCCATCATAAGTATTTATTTTTAAAAAATGTCTCAGTGATAAATGAAACATCTTTACCGCTGTTAAAGCATTTGAAAGTACTTCATGTTATTCATAAGATATGTCATCTTAATTGTTTCTTGAGTTAAAGTATTTATTGCATGTGACATCTTTTTTTTGCCTCTTGGCAATTTTACTATCTTCAGTTAGCAATAGGTTATGTCACCGTTTACAGTGGTTTTTTTCTTATGCTTTAAAAACAGTCTTATGCTTCTTAGCTGCATCAGTTGCAACTTTTTCTCTGTCTTTATCTTTCCATATTGTTCTTATGCATCATAGTTTCTAATTTACTGATACCCATTTAAAATTCATTTGTTTTGTGGTGGGTTTGTATTTCCCTAAAAAAAAATAAAATATTAGTTGTCTGTCTTCATTGTGGGATTGTAGCCTTTTGCCTGCTGAATTGATTCTTCAACACCTAATTTTCATTAGCACTTTTATTCTGGAAGACATCTGATAGTTGTAAAATAATCAAAGTACTGTTAAGAGTATAGAAATACTGCTTTAAAGAAAAAGTAGGTAACTCTTCCACTCCCACTTTCCAATACAAAATTTGTTAGTTTTCTTACTATCCATTAGGGCTCAAATATATTTAAAAGGAGTACATCAGTAGCTCAGCTTCTAGTTAGTTGCATGTACCTAGCTCTGTTCATTTTGTACACAAATAAACCCATGGTAGTGCAGGCAGCTAATTGTGAAAATCTGCACTCCAGGCTTTTTTTGTGTAAGTAACCTTGCCCGTAATTATAGATGGAGGCTGCTTAGATAATTATACAGAGACCTGTTGGACACTTACTAACATATAAACGCAATTTGTTTTGCTTTAGTTTGTTAGTTTCTCTTACAGAGACTGTCTTCAAAATAAAGAATAA